CGGTGAACCAGTGAAAGAAGGTACCATGGTATTGATTAAAGATGAAAACTTACCACCGTTAAAATGGCAACTGGCACGGATAATCAAAACACATGTTGGCGACGATAATATTTGTCGAGTAGTGACTGTTAGAACATCGAAAGGCATTTTTAAAAGAGCTCTACGTCAAATATGTATTTTACCTATGGACACAATTGAGTATAATAGGCATGGCTTGAGTACTTAGATATTTTGCTATGTTGTTAATTGTTTTTGATGAATGTTTTTCATTTCGGTAAAACGTTACCATAATGTCCAATTTTTAATGATTAATTTCATACCCATATTGAAAGACAAGTTTTCAAGGGGGGTGCATGTTTGTATTTACCTCATTTCTGCTTATAATACAATGATTTGGCAACACAGCGTAAATGTGCGCATGCCATAATACTGATTTTCTAGCCTAGTCGGCCTTGACCTGCTGACACCGTTTAAATCTTACCTATTTGATGGGTTGCCTAGCGATCCGTTTTTGTTTGTTGGTTGTTATTGTATTTCTAGCGCCATGTTGTAGAAAATAGAGAGAATATACAGTTTTTTATATGAAAGGTTGTATTAATTTTCCCGTTCAGAGTATGGGTTAGGGAAATTGGAAAATCTCAAACTAAATTTGTAAACTGAACCAGTATTTGGGTAGAATATGAATAGAAATATTAGAAGAGAGTGCGACTGATCAGGGCCTACTCTAGGTGAGATAGAGTAGGCCCTGGACTGATGCATGATGGTGAATCTGATTCATAATATTCATATGGAAATGGAAATAACGAGTGCCAATGGAGCCCACTTCGATCGAAGAGCTCGACCCAGTTTTTTTATGAATTGCAAATTTTCCAAAAGTTTTACACATTATTTGCAGGAGACATTGTATCTGTATCCTCTGGATTCATTCAGATGTACAATGAATGTACATTGAACGTCCAGAAAATACCCACAGTGGTTGTTATTTGGATGATTTCTGGACATCCCTTTCACTAAATATGGACATGCAATGGACGCCGAATGTACGCACAATGTACGTAATGTACCTTTTCTGGACTTGGAATTTACCTATGTCCAAAGTGGTTTCCTGGACGTCCATTGAATTACATTGGACTATTCCTGGACATCCATTGGATGTCCGGTACATCCATATCCAACGTCCATTGTACGTGCATGTACTGTGTGCGTTCCATAATACTCGAACCACAGGTAAGAGGTATAGTATCAAATACTCCCTCGCTGTGGTATTTTTCTGAATATATTCGTGGTGAATTTTACCACGATGCTGTGTTGATGGTTTTCAACTTTTCGCATTTAGTTCCACCACGATAACAGATGATTAGGTTGTATCGACGTACTCAAAGAGTATATTTTACTGCGGCGAATAAAGTTTGTTTCTATTCTTAACGTTTTTCGTGGTAAGATATACAGCGATTATTTATAGTCGTTTGTACCATTATTTTTTTCTACATGCAGCAGCACTAGCAGCAGGTTGTCATGGATGCCATAACGTTTTTGAGTTCAGGAATATATTCAGCACAGAAAAATGTATGAGTTACAAGATGTGATTCTAACCTAATTGATTTTGAATTCATCATTATTATACTCAGATTTCAGAAGTGAATGGTCTGCTCTACCTCTCTACCTCTATCAACTGAACAGGAAGCAAAGTACCTATGTCTGATTCGTTGATTTTATTTTTTGTTCAAGTACCTATCGATTCAAATTTTGATTCATATTCAATTCACTGATTCAATATGAGTCGTTGTGTCGGAGCTGTGTGTTTTGATTCCAAGTAGGTAGGAGAGAGAATATCATATTCAATGTTGTACCTAGATTTACCTACCTAGTTTTTTTCCAGTTAAATTGACATATTTTCCATTAATATTCGTTTTTGAATATTATTTGTGTTTTTCACACATTAAGTATTAAACTCTCTCAATAATGATAAAATTTTGTTTGTCTATAATAACCATATTATGAAAATTGAGAACTATACGTACCTTCGCATCTTCCATAATACTCGAACCACAGGTATAAGAGGTATAGTATAGCACAGTAAGAGCACTGATCAGAAATCAGAACATGAAAAGCTTCTGATTGGTAAATTGAATCTGTCCCTTCATCCCATATTTTTTTAATTGTTCTTTTAGTTTTCCTTCATTTTTTCAGTTTTTTCTCATATTTCCGATTTGGTTTTTCTGTTTTTTTTTAATCTGATGGTTATTTTTATGTTTCAGGTTCAATTTTATTTCCTCTGTTGCTCAGATAGGATAGGTATAGCAAAAGAAAACAAAAATTGAATATCACCAAGACATGTTTATTCCTGTCGGCCTCAACAAGCTCCCAAATTTACAAAAAAAAAAAGTACAATCAATCGCAACTGGGTGGACAAATGAATGTTCGACTAACAAAAACAAAACGTCAGTCGAACATTCAGCAGTCCATGAAGAACAAATATTAACAATAGTGATGAGAAATAAATACAACTGCTTGATGAACGAAAATGTAGAATCCGTTTTCCTGAGAGGTACAATAAAATTGTGATGACTTATTATATTTCAATAGTGGAAAATATTTTCGGGAATTGAATCATAAGTTATTGCACTTTATTTGGTCCCACTTCTACATGGTGTTTTTGGGGTAAATTCTAGGCCATCTTCGAAACATGACATCTAGAAGCAAGTATCATCATCGAAATTTTAGTTCATTTCCTTGTTCTATGGGACAACCAATCAGTGAATCTTCAGTTTTTTTATGGCATCGTATAGTAAAGGGCGGATACTATCTCATTTTCTCAAATTATCCAAAAAAAAGGCAAAGGTATAGTTGAAAACTGACGATTTTCCAATCCAAAAATGTATACAGGGTGGTCCTTGAGTAATTGTACATAGAAGTATGGCAGATTTTTGACTTCAAGATATAACTATTTGGGCAAATTTATCTTGATAAAATATTGCTGCTAAGAGAAATACAGGATATCGAAGGTAAAAATGTACAAAATTTATTTTTCGCACTTACTCCAAAGTGTTTGGACGTGGATTCATGATAGTTTAGAAACTAAGGATTTTTGTGGCATAAATGAATGCGCCATCGACTTAGCGCAAAGTAATATTTGGTATTGATCCCAAAATATGAATATTCTATAGTCAAATTCACTATAAATTGAATGAAAATATTCATACAGCTGATTTGTAAAAGGCGATAACCTCTGAAACTGTCAAGTTTTGGAAATAATAACAAGTATAACTTATTTTTGTTGAAAAGATGTTTCTTCAATATTTTTTGATAAAAATGGTGCTAACTGAACAGCAAACATGTTAAGTGCGCATTTATGCAAGTTGTAACTAAGTATCCATAATCAAAAAAGGTCAGTCATTGCAAAAACTCGATTTTAAAATCTCAACTTCAACACCCTGAATCGCTCTTATTAACAATATTATATCAAGGCAAGTTGTACAATTATTTAGCGACCACCACCGAAAAAAATAACAACAAATTCTGACTAGTATCCGACCTATAGCTCTCATTTTAGCCAGGAACCAGATATTTCCTGAATAGTCCCATAGAACTTCATGAGCGAGAATATAAGATCCTTTAGTGAAACGAAATAAACCTCAAAACGATGCACCCCCAAGGAAACCGGACTTCCCACTTTCATCGGATCCGCTAAAAATCGGTTGAGGACCGAGAAATGCACGTCTCGAGAGCGACTTGGGAGACAATCATGGGGAGCGCCGCCCCGAAATTTCGGCCATAGTACAAGGGGTCGTAACGCCACCCCCTCAGTCTCACGGTCCTACCCCAACTCGCCCTCCTAATCTTAACGATCAAATAGGGAAGGGAGGGATGTATGGTGATACAAACAGGTGAGAGTTGCTTGCACGATCATGATAATGAAATGAGTCTCTTCACAAACTTATAAATAAAAATGTAACCTACAAATCAATGTATCACATATATTAAACAATAATAATAATAATGATGATATAACTTTATAATAGGATTCGGGTGCCGATGCCAGCAAATTTAATTCACGTGGGATTGTTCTTAACCATATACAAAGAGGAAGTCAGGGTAGCTAGCGCATTAGGGTTGGTCCGCTATGTACAATTATATAATTAACGCTCGCTGCCCTGGTCATGGCGAAAACACAACTTTACACGAGAATTTCAGGGATCTTTTTCTTTACAAAGGTGTCAAAGGGACACAAGACAGTTTTTGTTCAGTTTACCTGCCACCGATCTCAAGGAGTCGAAATCAACTTCAATTTTGAACAAATCTTTGTTTTTTTAAACATTGCTATTTTCGAATGGACAGCTGTCATCGCCACAGTCAGGTATATCGATATAAATGAAAATTTCTAGTGAAAATTCCCTTCAACACCTTCGTATATCTTCCCTACTACAACTACAACATAAACATGAGAAGGGGGCACACATCGACATACACATATAGACAAATAGGTATAGTAGGGCTGAATGAATTATACACTAAATATAAATTATTTGGTTTGTAATACGATCAACGGGCACCTAGATGTCTCTGCGGTCTCCGAGAAAGTTTTAGTTCGTGACGTCAGACATGCGCGCTGTAGACTCGAAACGGTATTTCCACGCGCATGCCAGCTATTCATCTATATCTTTCTCTCTCTTGAATCGTGTGACTTCATGCACGAAGCACACTCGAAGAGTTTCATAAGCTGGTTTCTCGAAATTCGATGTTTCATTTGAAGTTCAATGTATTATGAAGATGATCAAATTGTCTAATAACGTTAGAACGCGAGTTTCCAGAAAACTTACTGAAACAGAGGAAATTTGATATTTTTCTACGCCAGTGATTTTGGTCAATGAAAACACGTAGGTACTTTTCATTATGAAACTAATTTTCGACCTATAGAAACACCTACTTTGGTATAATCAAATAGGTATTTGTTTCTATTCGCGATAGAAAATTCGCGTACGCCACCTATCGGAGTTCTTTAAAGCTGTCAAAACGGCCTGTTTACTTTGTTTTCATTGGTTCACATTTGTTTTTTGTTTGTGCTCATTGGGCACATTATCCAAACAAACCGCTCAGAAATGTTCAAGATTTTGCCGTCAGGTAGGGCGACGTATTATTTTCTATCGCGAATATCACTTGCTTGAGTTGTTTGACATTTTCACAACGCGTCAAAAGTAATGGAATATCTCAAAAGATAAATAGTCACAAATGGAATTTTTTAATGACTATCAACACACTCAGACACGGTTTACGACACTCGCCTTCGGCTCGTATCGTATGTAACTTCTGTCATTACATGATCGTTGCATAAAATTCTATTTCAATAGTACTAGGCTGACCAATTCACTGCAAGAGGTATATCACTATTCATTTGGAACAATAATTGATCATAGGTAGTGAGACATCCTCATCATCGCTTGTTTCGATTTCGCCTACTTCAATAAACATGACATCACACGGGTGAATCACGACTTTCTTGAAAACTTCGCATTTGAACATAATTCTCCAATATGAACACCTTCGTTTAGAGCCTCCGAAATATAACTTCAACCAATGAAACCCTTTGAATTGCATGAACAGTGACAACATACCAACAATACTAAATTCCACCATGAGTTCCCCTCATGTGTCACCCGGCAGGAGAGAGAAAGCTACAGAAACAGCCAAACCGCACGTCAACGTCAACCGCACACGCGCGCACTCCACTTTGTACTAATCTCACGAAAGGCAGCCTCGCCTCGCCTCGCCGCGCCCCCTTTACACCTCCAACGTGACCACATTCATCGGTCTCGGAGATGGCGACGGCGACTTCTTGGACAAATTCAGCGGCTGCTGCGCATCCCCGACTTCCACCTGCAGCTCCACCAACGAAGACGTCGGACTGCGCGTGCGCGGAGATCTGCACCCCTGCGAAGAAGGCGCAGGCGAGGTCGAATGCGGCGACTGCGCCGGCAAACACAGTCTACTGTAGTCCTGCTGCGCATGTGTGGGCGAGCAGGAGTGCAGCTGGGTGTGGCGAGCCGTCGTAGTGATGACGCTAGTGGCCCAACGCGGTGGAGGCGTGGCCGTAAGCGTGGCTGTAGGCGTGGCGGTGACCATAGGCGACGCCTCTCCGCGCATTATATAATTGTGGATGATGTCCGTCCGCTTCATTTGCTCAGCTGTCATCCTAGGACCTTCCATCAACGATTTGGCCAACATAGAATGCGAGCTAGACAAGGTAGACAGCGTAGCTGGTTCTGCTTCGGCGGAGTCTTTATTGTTTCTTAGTGCCCGGAACTTTTTGTGTGGCTTGTAAGCTTCGTCCATCAAGGAATTGGTGTCATACAGAGGCGGTGCTTGCAACACCCGCTTCAAAACCGGCATATCCTCAACCGTGTGGTGGTGGTGGTGGTGTTCTTCAGTGAAAGACGATCGCGGGCTCGAACAAACCGAAGTAGGCTTCTCGACTTTCTCCGTGCCAGACTCGATACCAGAATCGCTAGGGGAATCCAACTTGCGGAACCTTGGCGGTCTGTTCACAGGGGTAATAGTCAGCCCGTTAGGAATAAGGTGCGAAGTAGCCGCTAGCTCGTCATCCCCGGAAGAAGTGGACCCGGAATTAGCGCGGTGTCTGTGAGGACAAACGCCGCCGGCTAACGTAGCGGCTAGCAAGGGAGCGTTAGCAACGTTCGAGCTAACATGCATCGGATGGTGATGGTGGTGGTGGTGGTGGTAATCGTGTATCTCCGAGGAGCACATGGATTCGGTGCTGGAAACGGAACCAAGCGGCGATTTAGCCTCGTCCATCGTGACGTCAGAGGAGGAAGACCAAGAGGCAGCCGGGCTCTTGCTGTCGCTCTCCTCCTCCATGGGAGCACTCCACAAGTGGTGTTGCTGTTGCTGCTGCATCAGCTGCTGCTGCTCGGTCATCTTGAAAGCGAGAAGCTTCTCTGAGTGCAGCGTATTCAGCGTGCGGAGATCGGGTATCTTCTTCATCAGCTCCTCCATCACATGAGGCTGGCCGAGGTGATTTTGGCTGACCACCATTTGGAGCGAGGTCTTCAACTTGTGGTGCATCTTCTCGATGAGCTCGGTGTTCCTCAAGCCTGGTCTGTCGGCGGCAATGACAACTACCGAGCAGAAGAGGCCGATCTCAGCGTCGGAGAGTCTGAGGGCGTTCATTCTTTCCGCGAAGTCGAACATGCTGTCCATGAGGAAGCGGGCATTGGAGCTGTTGTGGATAGAGTCGCGTTTCAACACTTGCCCGTTCAGGCAGATCATGCTCGCGGTTTGGGAGTCGAACATACACGCCAGACGCACTAGGAGCACTTCGAAGACGCCGGCTTTTAAGAGGGTGACTTGATCGTCCTGGGCTAGTAGGGAGAAACCCGGGATTCGTTTGGCGAATTCCACCACGCCGCGGATGGCGGGGGAGAATCTCTTGGAGAAGTCCTGGAGGAGTTCTTGTTGGCCGGTTAGAGGCTGTGGGTTCGGGTTCAGAGGGCAGGCCTGGAACAAATAAGGTCACGGTCAGTTATACGGCTATAGAATGCTCTTTCGCGTACTGAGAAAGGACTTGTCACAGTGTCTCTACTGAAATATTTTTATAGCTTTGCACATTTCTTGGAACGTGATCAAGATATTAGATAGCGATAGGTATTAGACGGGACTCTTTCTGATGCAATCTCTAAGAAATCTAAGCGGATATATGAAGAAATCTTCGCTTTGCAAAGTCACTCGAGACAGCTTGGTCAGAAGAAATCCGCCGTCCCCTTTGAAGAGAATTTGCCTCAAGTGACTTTGCAAAGACATACAATAATTGACGAAGTAGGTACGTTTCTCTTGTAGATTTAGAGATTAGTTTGACGGTTATCAACTCGTTGTTACTCTAGCAAAGCAAGGAAATATCACTTTGGGGCCTCTATTGTGTCTATAATGTCACATACATCTGAATAATTGGGATACCCTGTATATCGAATTGAATTGAGCAATGTACGTTTCTTGGAGAAACAATCAGAAATTGATATCGATCGACATGTTGTTGATTGTTGCCGTCTCTGACGGAGAAAACGTTCTGAATATTTTCGATACTTTACTGCCAAGTTAAAAATAGCGTAACCTCTGTGAGTCGCGCGGGACAAGGTCGAAAATAAAGGCAATCGATACGATGGTTTGTCACGTAGCCCCAGCACAGTTATTACGGATGGACGATCAACACTGTTGCCCATCTCGTACCGAATTCGGGGTAATTATGATAAACGGGGGTTCTTGAGAATAGAGAAGAAGAGTTACGTATTTTCGAAAACTAATCAGCTATACTATGCCTTTTCCTTATGAAAACTATGCGAAATATTAGGTATATAAGTTTGCAAGGACTTATAATGGTGATATAAGGGAACGAGTAAAGCACTAATGGTGTTCATTATGTTTATCAATTTAAAGTTAATGGGTGACGAGTTACCTTGCAGTTTATTTTTGTCATTGTATGATAAAGTAGGTAATTTCATAAGGCTATACTATTATGGGTTGTTATTTTTCATTATCTCGATTTTTAGGTGTTTGTTTCGTAAGTATTCGTTTCATTCGGGGCGCTCTCAACTTTCTATCACCAAAAGTAGAAAACTGAAACCATGACACGTGAATAAAAACGTTGTGGTAAATTCAAAATAGGCAAATTCTAAAGGAGTAATCTAGTAATTTTTCCCATATTCATTATTCTCAAACAATGCGACCCGTGAATATAGAAAGGTCTTCATATATTATTAAAAATCGACAAATTCTAAAGTCGTATAATACTTCCAGTAATTCAAATAAGTTCAAACTATGAACTTTTGATTTCTACAGATTTCCTATGATTTTTCCCATTTATCATTCTAAAACCATTCGACAAGTGAATAGAAGCGTTTTTGTATTTTCAAAATCGACAAAATATAAAATAGTTATCCAGTCATTCAAATAAGTTAATTTTTTTTTTTTCAATTTTTAATTTTTACATCAGATTCCCTATTTTGCCTGTTCATTGAGTTACTCTCGGTATCGCCGTTAGACCTAAATTTTCAAATTCCAAGAATGATAAATTTGATTTCGATTTTTTTTGTATTTTGATCGAGGGTTTCGGTTGTGTCTCAAAATATTTTCCTCTCAGTTTCTTTCCATGATGAAAAAAATTATATTTCCATACTAGGTATTTTCCGACCATCTATAGCTTGTAATCGCTTCTTAAATTTGCAAAATGTTTGAAAAACAATCTAGCTGCAAAAGAAATGCAGAAATAATACCTACATGATTGTGTAGACAAAATAAAAACAAATAATGGAAAAATGTGTAAATAAACCGGGTGTAACAAGATCATGGTACACCCCCTTTTTCTCCTTTAGTTTTGGAGATGAGTGATTGAAATTAGGAATGACCAATCAATTAGATGAATGTCGTGTTTTGACATAATTATATGTTTCATTTTACGGTTTTACCGGAAGTGGTAGTAACTTGATTTTCAAATGGAACACCCTGTATATCATAGTATTTTCGAATTCAGCATAATTTTCTGAATCCAATGATACCACATAAGTGATATTTCTAAATTCAATATTGATTTGAGTTTCATTTTTGATTTTCCTTCTGAGTGTGCCATGACTAATTCGATCGAGTCTGATGTACTCATATCAACAGCTGTAATGTTAAAAGGTTAAAACAAATGTAATCCTGTCAAAAATGTCAAATTTCTTGATTCATCACCAAATTAAGTTCATTAAAATGGTTTGGTATACCGTGATCCTGTTACACCCGGTATAGGGTATTTCAAATCCATAATTCAGGTAGACCCGTGTTCAAAAAACATCCTAGAGATGGACTTCACGATTTTGTACTATTTTTCCCCGCATAAAGACTTTGTTCATCTCATATTACAACCGCAATGGTGTCGTTCCCACACTACGTGTACACCCGTTACCAAAACGGTCATTCCTTCCGTCTTTATTCGATGGACCCGATCTATTGGGCCGCGAATCTCGATCGACCTGAGGTCATTCGTATCGGCACGGTATCGTCCTAACGCTATTCAAGTGCGCGTTAACCTTGAAGGCCGCACCGCATCGAACGCCGGCAAACGGGCAAACGGCGATTAGCGCAGGGGAGAGAGACGGAAACACATGTGCGGACCTTGAGCGTTTCCGCTGTCCCCCCGCTAGCAAGGTCGCCCGGTCTGGGTCTGACAATGTGCGCTTTTGTTTCCAGCCAGCTAGATGCCTACGACGTTTTATTCGTTACTCGCGCCCTATTTACCCGCCCTGACTCTGGTCAGTGTCGCACCAATAGAATAAAGACGAAAGAAAGGAGTAGCACACATGTACAGGGTGGCCAACTAAGAATCCAGAGTTCGATACCTCTGTTGTCTTGAGAGATACAAAAAACAGTTTTGCATTCAAATTAAAGTGATAACCGAGCTTCACATTTCAAAATTTCTTTGAAATACACAGGGTGTTCCGTAAGGTCACAGAACATCAAAGCTATGTTTTTTTTCATTGGAACACCCTATATTTTATTTCATTTTTGAATTCTCCCTGAAGATCTGATTTCAACGACCCATCATTCTTGGGGTCTAGCAGTGGAAGTTACTGACATATAGGGTGTGCAAAATTGAGATTTTCCAAGTTCAGGATTATTTTCTGTCGAAACTGTTCATTATTCGTCGAAATGGTTTACATGTCCCTATCTCAACTTTTCACTCACTATCAATTGGTGTTCAATTGAAATTGATACAAGGTGGTCAAAAAATCTAAATTTATAATTTGTTTCAATTAAATGTCAATTGAACACCAATTGATAGTGAGTGAAAAGTTGAGATAGGGACATGTAAACCGTTTTGACGAATAATGAACAGTTTCGACAGAAAAAAATCCTGAACTTGGAAAATCTCGATTTTGCACACCCTATATGTCAGTAACTTTCACTGCTAGACCCTGAGTATGATACGTCGTTGAGATCAGAACTTCAGGGAGAATTCAAAAATGGAATAAAATATAGGGGGTTCCGAAGAAAAAAACATAGCTTTGATGTGCTGTGACCTTACGGAACACCCTGTGTATTTCAAAGAAATTTTGAAATGTGAAGCTCGGTTATCACTTTAATTTGAATGCAAAACTTTTTTTGTATCTCTCAAGACAACAGAGGTATCGAACTCTGGATTCTTAGTTGGCCACCCTGTACAGGGTACACCTCTTAAAATGGAACCCCCCCTTAACTCTTTTGTTTTCGGAGATATGAAAAAATGTTAAATGAAAAAGTTGTTTGAAACGACCCAAACTTTTATTTCGTGAAGTTGTTTCATATACAGGGTCATTCGTTTTTCCAGAAAGAACATCAACTTTGATTTTTTCAATGGAACACCCTATATATTTTCTGACATGTCGATAGAGCTTTTTTTTCTGATTCCATCCGTGAATAAAATATTCTTAGTAAAATTTTCATCGCGATTATGTCTTTCAATTATTTCAAGACAAAATCGTAAACGATTTGGATGATCTTGAGGAAACAAATAATTCACTGGCATTACTTTGTATGGCTTCATATGATGCTTCTTCAAAACTCGTCCCACACTTGTCGTGGATATATTGAAGTAATTTGCAGCCATTCTTGTCGAACGACTAGGGTCTTCAATGAAATAATGTAATATATTTTCCTCTGTCTCTTCTATGAGTACCGTTTTTTGCCGATTCCTCTTCATATCACCCAAATTACCACTATCTCGTCTGAACTTTTCGAAGATCCTCTTGAAGGTATTCAATGATGGAAGTGGACGATCACCAAACCGATGCGCATATTCTCTACGAGCAGCGGTTGCATTTTTCCCGCAAGAAATGTATATTTCCAAAATTTCGCATCTTTCATTCAAACTGTAATCCATTTTTTTATTCTATAGAAATCGAACGTTTTCAAATTCATGATAAACATGGAGCTCAAACAATTTATAAACATTATTTCAAAGCCCACTATGTTCAACTTACATTAGATGATATTACCTATGAAGTGAAGGTTCATAAAGCGGTATTCTGGTCAACTTTGATCATCAATAAATCAATCCGAATATGCAACTCATATAAATTGGGAAATATATAGGGTGTTCCATTGAAAAAATCAAAGTTGATGTCCTTTCTGGAAAAACCAATGACCCTGTATATGAAACAACTTTACGAAATGAAAGTTTGGGTCGTGTCAAACAACTTTTTTATTTATCATTTTTTCATATCTCCGAAAACAAAAGAGTTAAGGACGGGGTTCCATTTTATGAGGCGCACCCTGTACTGAAGGTGTAAGGTCCCAGAACTACTATGTGCGCTCTTGTTTCCAGCCAGCTAGATGCTTACGACGTTTCATTTGTTACTCGCGCCCTATTTACCCTTCAATCTGTGGCTATGGTTAGTAACATCCCATAGAATAAAGAAAAAAGGAAGGAGTAGTACACAGGTACGGAGCTAGATGCCTACGAAGTTTCATTTGTTACTCGCGCCCTATTTACCCTCCATGGCTCTGGCATCGTCCACCATTAGAATATTGGTGGACGATGGCTCTGGTTAGTGTCGCACCCAGAGAATAAAGACGAAAGGAAGGAGTAGCACACATGTAGTGAAGGTGTCCCAGAAAATTCCCTCTTCCTCACTGGAATGTATACATTTCACTTTTTTCCTAATATTTTGCGGTACTAAGTTACGAGCCCTCGAAGTTACAAAATGGAAAATGTTGTTCTATGATATAGACCAATATGCGATACCTACTTATTGCACTCTCTGTGAAACACAGTCAAAACTTTCTCATCGTTCCCTTTGATTCCAAAAACTGCAATTTCAAGGACCAGAGGAATGTTAAGTCCTGATGTCATCGTTTTAATTATAGCTCTGACAGAAGTATTAGGTAACGTCAAATAGAAGATCACTAGCAAATGTGTCAAAACAATAATTATTTTCCTATTTCCATGACAACAAGAGGTATAGTGATATCACATCACGAATGGGGAAGACCACTGAGGGAAGAAATCCGTGCAAACCTCCTTCAATCGATGAATCATGATTTACGTTTGATCTACAATCAATATTATGAGTTGAAGTTGAAGGGAATCGAATCTATATCGTTTTGAAATCAGCATATTTCATTCGTTATTTCGAAAAGCCAAATATGAGTGGAGTTGTGACGTATTAGTCCCGCACTGTAGCTATCTCTCTCATACCCTCGTCATTCTGCAGTGTTGCAGTGTGATTGGTGAGTTCAAGTACAATAGGCGTGTTGGGACTAAGACGTCGCACCAGTCTCACCAATGAATTGACAAAATTTCAAATGGCGCAGGAATTGTGTGTTTTGAAATGGACATATTCTAATTTATTTTTTTCATCGTCTTAGCATGAATGAAAAAATTCAAAATTAATTCACTGGTAGTTTTTCAGTATAGAGTTCACCATAATGTCGTTTCAAGAAATAAGTGGTCTCCCCCATTCAACCATTTTACATCAGTTGTTATTTCCATATTTTGGAATGATAAGACTAAAGGAGGAGGGAAAGCTCAAAGTCATCTCCACAACTTTAGTTGTGGAGATGACTTTGAGCTTTCCCTCCTCCTTTAAAAATTCCACTCCACTTTGAGCAAACATGGACTTCTACCAGAGATTTGATAAGACTAGTATTTATGATACAAAGTGTACACCGATGGGGTGTATACCAATAAAAATATAGTATGAATTATTCGTGGAGAATTGGTCCTATAGGTACTATACGCCAGGAATTTAAGGACGGTTGGAACGCTTCATCACTCCACTCCAAAATCAGATGAGAATAATTTTTGTCCTATTGTGTTATAACATTGGGGAATAATATAATGTTTTTTGTTACGAGTAGAATAATAATGTGATGGCATTGTAGTACAACTGCTGAGTATCAAATACGTTAGCTTCAATGTATAGTGAGTCTGAGGAATGAGAATAATCTTTATGTAGCAGAGTTCTGCGAAACCGTTTTTGTAGGATATCCAATGGATTTCTGTAAGATGCAGCTGCTACGCCCCATGATATTACCCCATAACGTAAGTGACTTTCAACAAGGGAATGATAGAGTATTTTGACGTGATGATATGGTAATAATGTTTTCAATGCTTTAAATTCATACAGAATGAATTGTAATTTATCGATGATATATTGAATATGTGCATCCCATCGGAGATGTGAATCAAGAATGACTCCTAAATATTTGAGCTTTCCTTCTGGTAATATATCAAATGTTTGAGTGGAACTACTGGAACTAGTTATCTCGAGGTGATTGAAGGTTGCAGTGTTTGACTTATTACAACTGAATGGAATGTAGCACGTTTTCTCGAAATTTATAGTCAGGAGACTGTGATCCAACCAGTTCTTTATCTGGATGAAGTCCCTCTGAGCTAAATCTTTCAGTGCATCCCATGTTGGAGCTGTGTAAAAAATCGCAGTGTCATCTGCAAAACCTATTATCTCGCTACTTTACTCGATGAAAATAATCCGTTTATATAAATGTTGAACAGTAATGGTCCCAGTACTGTACCTTGAGGTACTCCGAACTGGATGAGTAGAGCGTGGAGCGATGAAGCGTCACTCAGGGACAAGAAGAACGTAAAATGGGCCGTTAATATCCACTTGTACTTTCTTATCTACTCACCAAAGTAGGCGGACAGGCGGTGTAGGAGGGCCGCTCCCTGGCGCGCTGCAGCATCGGCTCCACCTTGTCCCTGGTGAAATCGCAGGTGTCGATGTGCGCCCTAACCACCGTCTCCAACAGTCTCTGGTCGTCCTCCAACTCGGCGGCGACCGCCTTCTCCAGGGAACGCGAGTTGGAGCTCTGCTGCATGGCGGCGAGGATCCTGGCCTTTTCCCGTTTGGGCACGCGACCGAATCTGACAGCTGGAAAAAAAGAAAACATGACATTAGGGTTGATGAATAATCGGATTTATGAATAGGGAGAGCACGCCGCAATATATTTGGAAGTCTGGTATACACTTCATGTGAAGTCACTAGAAGTCATTGGAAGTCATTGGCACTCTTTGGAAAGTATTGGAAGTCACTGGTGGCGTCATTGAAAGTCATTGGCACTCTTCGGAATTTATTGGAAGTCATTGAAAGTCACTATTGCTGTTATTGGAAGTCGCTAGAAAAATAAGCCATTCTAGTTATTTGATTGTGTAATGCAGGGTAGATGATCATGTAGGTTATACATATTATTATGTGATACTATTATTTTCGAACAATGTTTTCGACCTGTCTTCATATATTGGATATTTCTGGAACATCGAATTGAATCGATTCTAGGGTAAGGACGCCTAAATCTATTTGGCAGTCTGGTATACACTTCATTGGAAGTCACTAGAAGTCATTGGCAGTCTTTGGAATTCATTGGAAGTCAAGATAAGAATCTGGAATTCCTTGGAAGTCATTGAACGTCGCATTAAACGCATTGGATGTCACTAGGAGTCACTGGAAGTCACTATAGAAGATATTGGAAGTCACTAGAAGTCACTGTCACTGGAAACCACTGGAAAATAAGCCATTCTTTGATCTTGTGATGCAGGAAATAAAGGCTAACATTTTCAATATCACTAGATGGCGTGACTAAAACCTGAGGTCAATGTCAAAATCAAAAATAGTAAAATTTTGCAGGATAACCCTAAAGGCTGTGGCCTGTTTCATTGAAGATATTCGAAAAAAAATATGTAAAATATTTGAACAAATAGAAAACCTCAAGTTATAAAGAAACTTGAGGTACTCTCAATGTGGAACTCAACAACCAATTGTTACATTTACGGAGAAGAAGATATCGTAGGAAGAGGCCAAATGATAGGAAAAGAAGGAGTATAGTTATCAGTTCTACCAACTCTGACCTCACATTTCATTTCAGTAGCGCGATCTGTTGGTGAATACATAATGTTAGCCTCATTGGGCAAGGAATCCTAAAACCGAGGGGTACATTTACTTAGAAGTCTGATGTGCACTTCATTGGAAGTCATTGGAAGTTATTTAAAGTCAATGGAAATCACTGAAATGAATTTGTTCATTTTCTCTATTGTATGCAATTAAGTATGTTGATTTCTTACATTATATCCAGTATCCAGGTGACAAAAAATCGAGAAAAAAAAACGACAAAATGACCATAACCCTGATAGTCAATGGGAGTCAGTGGAAGTCTTTGGTCATAAGAAGTCTGGTGTAAGTGGTGTACATATTTTTCGTGAAGATTTACCACGTATTGTTAATTAGGTATTTAGGGAAATGGGGCTTTTCTAACAAATCAACATTATTTTTAGAAATGGGTTGGTATGCCTTCGAGTTTTTCTTCATCCCTTTGAATGATATATGATATTTCAAGGCCGTCGGAAGAAATTGCATAAAAACTTATAATTATTAACCCCCTTGGAAAGCACATAATATACTATCCTTATCATTCATTTTCGGAAATAGGATTATACGGGCAATGCGTCATTACTTTGTTTTTTGGATATATCATGTTGAAATCAATATGCATGTTCGTCTAAACATTTATAATAATTATTCCACATACAAATCAAAACATTAAAAATAGAAAATTAGCCCTAAACAAGTTGTAAACGCGATCGAAAATGACAGCTGGAAAGAAGAAAGTACGTTATTGATAATCTAAAATGTAAATATATGCGATACGAGACACAGGAGTAAAGGGTGAATCCAGGTGCCTAACGACCCTAAACATCTGGTCGGTTCGTTAAAAAAAAGATAAACTCAACATTCAGCACACGTCAGTTATTGTAATATCGTCAATCATCTCCAGTCTGTTTCAACGCCTTTTTATGTGAAAAGTAGATAGTTTATCTATACGGACTCAAACTGATTATTATAAAAATACTATTTCAGGTTGCCATTACATTTACTGAGCCATAACTACTGGTTTTCCAAGGAAGGCCAAAGTCGAGGCCAAAGTATTTAATTCTCTAACGGATTTTTTTTTCTCATATTTTTGGATTCAAGGAATCGTTATTCTTGTCTCTATTATTGAGTTGAGAAATAGATATATGATCAAAATAAATTATGATGGCTCTGAAGTGTAATTTGAAGATTGAATTTTGGGTAGTTATTTTTCTATAAATATTGGAAGTGTAATAAAATATCTTGAAAACCGACTTCCTGTAGATTATGCAGATATAACCGCCCTTTCTCTAATGCGAGAAATGAAGCAATGTACTGAATTTGTACTGATTAATATCTACTTAGGTATCAAACATTCTCTAATCTCTGTTGCTTATAATAATTAATTAGAGAATCAACATTTTTATTGAAAACCACGCCTAATACTCTTCAGGTAAAAATATAGGGTGTTTACCCTATTGAACAAGAAATATAGATGAAAGATGGATCAAAGAAATGAGAGAGAAAAAAACAGATTATGACCGACAGGAGAAAGTGCCTACTTCGGCAAGACGAAAGATACCTAGTTCGAAAACGCGGGAGAGAAATTCTCCTGCTTTCACTCCGATGAAAGTGTTGTAGGTCAATGAAAGTACTCCAATAAATTTGAATACAACTCGATAATCTCCAACAAGATAAAAAATACATCTTATATACCTACATAGGTACCTAACGCGAGAATAAGAAATAAGTAAACATAAGTAAATGGAATGGAAAATATCAACTCACACGAACCGACCTTTTGAGTACCTATATACCACTTGAAGACATGCCAAATTTGTATTAGTTTTTTCATGATTTTTTTTATTTGCTTATATTTTATGTGAAGGATGCCTCAGCGTGGTAAAATCCAACTTTTGGAAACGCGCGTTTTTTGAAGTTACCACGGCAGTTATCAACTACCCGATGTCAACATTTTGATTATCAATCTGACAGGACTACCATGTAACGTCAAATGAAACATCACCAACAAATGTTTCGAATTAATTAAATTTTTCTCATTTTCATCACAACGAAAGGAATACTGATGTCACTTCAACAATTTAACATTATTTGTAGAGTACCTAGTAGGTATTTATGATTTTAAATTGTACCTATACCAATAAAAAATATAGGTTAGGCCTACGTGCTCAAAAAATCGCGAGTATTTCAAAGACCTTTATATACACTTTCATTTATTTAAATAATGTGATTCACCCACAACGAATTGGCACCTAGGTATAGGTATACTTGTTCCTCCAGAAATCTTAGCAATCTATAAAACAAACTAACGGACTAGGTGTATGGAGGTATGAGAACATTCACAATTATTGGATCAGTTTTTTTCAGGTTCCTTTTTGAAATGGATCACTAACAATAATAATAATATTGTCATGTAGTAGATCCTAATCAAATTTTAATCCATCCGAAACATAATGATTTTCAATAAAAAACATTCATTTCAAATCCAATGTATTGTATGATATTCATACCGACTCATGTCGACTATTCCGAAGAAGGCAAAATAAAAAAACACCTACGTGCGTTGTGGTAATTCACGACACCGTTGAGTATCCCCTTGAGGATGGGCAATTCTTCCGCCATCATGCACTGTTCAGCACTTTCACCGCCAATCACATGTGCGCGCAATTCGTATCCGTATAGTACCGACGGGCTGTGAACGCGTGACGAGCGATTCGACATTCCCGCACTGAGTGAACCGATCAACGCAACGCGCCGATCTCGGATCGACGGCGGCCGTGCACCCACGGTCGCCGATCCCCCCACCCCATACCTCCCCTCCGATGCCCTTGAACTTGGGCCGCGGCTCTGACGCTCGCGATGGCCCACAGCCAGCGGCGTTAGGGGGCGCCAAGGTCGCAGCGGCGGTCGCGCTGTCACCCGGCCGGGCATCCCCTCTTCCCCCTCTCACCAACGAGTGCCTACTCACGACCCCTTCCCATAACCTGGTTTTGGTGCGGTGCGGCACGTAGCGCGAGCGCTGACGACCCCCTGGATCAGAGTGGCCGGGCCGTTTTTAGTACTATTGTACTTTTCTAGTACATTTCATATACATTTAGTACGTCTATACAATTAATACAAATCTAGTACAAAAACAAGAACCTTTGAAAACGGTAAAATGTGAAGAAAAATCATAGTAGGATGAAAGTCATTAAAAAAGAAGAAGAATATAACAAGGATGAAAGGGCGATCTGAGGTCGGGAAGTGGTAGGGGGTGGGTTTTCAAGGGTAGAAAACGGGTTATCTTGATTTCCAGCAAAACTGCGAGCCCTATGGAAAAAATTTGAATAGCAAAGTTGTAGGTAATAAATAGACCTACAACTTTTGTGATCACACTCTTTCCACATAACCTCAAAATTTATATGAAAAATCCAAATAATCAAGTTTTTGGTTTTTTATTTTCATTTTATGAAAAAAAAAAAATTCTTCACGATATTTGGTCAAAACTTTACCTTTTTATGTCCTAAAGACACTGTAATTTTTTTGATTGTAAATATTCATTTTTTCACCTATTTCGCCTTAATATCGAAAAAACACCCTCATTTTCAATCGAATATTTTCGCGTCAAAATACCAGCTTCTCAAAAAAACTCGGGGCATTATTGTTCGTTGAAATCTCTTCTTTCTGATAATGTGAGAGAATATATACATTACTACGGTAAATATTCTCAGAAAATGCAAAGAAAAAAAAACTCGAAACCGATTTTTTTTCAATCTCCATGTACAATTTTGAGCTATTTTGTAAAATTATCACTCCAATCCCTCGAAAAACGTGAGATTCTATGTTACATTGAAAAACAAAAAAATACAAATCCATAAATCATAATGATTGCAGGAAACATGCGAAAATAGTTGTTCTAAATATTAAAGATATAGGATTCAAAGGGGGGATTTTGAAGAAAAAAATGTGATTGCTGCAATTTTTTTAGTCAAAAAGTTGATTTATCAAATTCATGCATTTATGTCATA